AGTTTTTTTTTTTTTTTTAAAGAGTATAATTGCGCATCGATACTTATTTTGACACCCCTTTTTATTTATTTTTTAATAAATAGTATAGACGCGTCTATATTCAGTTTTTTTAAAAAAGTAGTATAGTAGAGAGGCTATACTTATTTTGACATGTGGCCACCCAATTGCAAGGAGGGTCCTTTCTTTAGATATATAAATATTATAGCCGCGCGGCTTTACTCCATTTTTCTGAGTTTTTTTCCACACGTGTAAGCCTAATCGCAATGCAGATTTTTTAGATGTATAAAATAGTATAGCCGCGCGGCGATACTCGGTATTTTTCTTATTTTTAATAATAAAATAGTCTAGCAGTGTGGATATACCGATTTTGACACGACTCAGGGTCTGTTTCTTTCTAAAAGTAGATAGTATAGCCGCGCGGCTATACGCGGCTTTTTGGTTTTTATTATAAAAATAGTATAGCCCTAAGGCTATACGTATTTTAAAACACGTGGGTGGCTCATCTATGGGGGTGATGTTTTTAATAGACAGTATAGCCGGCCGGCTATACTGTTTAATAGTATAGCCGTGCGGCTATACCTATCTTGAAACGTGGCACCCACCGATGGGGTCCTTTTTATTTATTTCTAAAATAGTATAGCCGCCCGGCTATACAGAACCACCATCTTCTCATTGTGTGTGCTTTGGAGGGCTCGTAGTACTTCTAGACCTCTTATTTACTCTTACAATCCGGTCACTCATCTCCATGTCTTGAACACAGTCCATGCCCATTTCATAGCCATCTACCCTTGAGCGTTTCCCGTGGGAAGCAGTCTTTAGCTTGCAATGCAGTGCTGTTTCATTCAGCCCAACAGAAGTCAACTCTTGCTGGAGTGAATCAAGCTTTGCCTGTGTAGCTGTTTGCATCCGCATGTGCTGCACGCTGTCCAGAAGGCCTTGAAGGACGACAGTACTAGACTAGTTCTCTGCTCTTCTCGTTATTTGATTTTAATAGAGATTCTGTTTCCTTCTCTCTTTCTTCAACTCTTGCTTCCAGAAGAGCAACTTTCGAATGAGCTCCCATCTCTGATACACGAATTCTCTCTAACTCAT